GCACCTCGTGGACTCCCTCCTTCAGTTGGTTCGCTCAAGTCGTCCCCGGCAGGACGGCTCCCTCCCCGACCCCCCACTGCACCTCGTGGACTCCCTCCTTCGGTTGGTTCGCTCGAGTCGTCCCCAGCAGGGCGGCCCGCTCCCCAAGCCGCCGCTGCATCTCGCGGACACACTCCCTCGGCTGGTTCTCTCGAATTGTCCTCGGCAGGCCCATCTCAGAGTCGAGGAGCATCCACCCATCCTAACCCCGTCATGCAGACTTCAACGGTTTCTCCCGGTCCACCCCCAACAGCCGCATCTCAGGCTCGAGGGACCCAGGGATCCGGCAGACATGAGGTATATGATACTCTCACTGTCTATGATCACCCAACTTCTAGCTATCGCCGTCGTAGGCTGGGCCACATTACCGAGTATCGCCATCTTCCTGCCGACGTTGGTGCCGTTCTCACCCTCCGGTATGGACTTCTTGCGAGTCCGGAAGGCCTTCGGCTTGATATAGTCCGGGTATCCTCACATCCGGAATTTAGCAAGAAGCTGTCATCCTTCATGGTCGAGAAGGCTACCGGCGCATATTCTCAGGAGTTTATGGACAAGGCGATAACTTTCATGAAGGATCTATGTACAGGTGGGGGGCAAGGTACACTCTCCCACTGCGATCTCGCCCAGGGGCGACTCCAAACACCATTGAACGTGCGCCGTCTGCCTGCCGATGAAATCATATATTATGCTGTGACCCCTCCTGATGGACCAGGTGTCTGGGTGACTACAGCAGCGGACGTCTGCCATATCATACGAATCTACAGATACGAGTCATCCCGCGGAGACGCGCAGCCTGACCTAAGGCTGCGCTTGCTGGATCTAGGCATTCCTTTCCTTTGTCCCCGTGTTTTGCCACATCCGCAGAAGACTGTCGAACCGGGGTCTCTTGTACAACAACTGGTGCGAAGTCCAGGCTATAAATGGGTTCCTGCGGACTATGCCAGCTATGTATCCCGGAGAGACAGCTTTATCGTCGGTCACCCTCACGGCCGGGCTGCGCTACTCCTCGGCGGCATGATGTGGCGCCTTGCGCTGGATGCACTCCATGGCACGGCAGAAGATGTCGTGTGTGCTGGACCAAGTGAAGCAGCCATCGAGAACGGATTTGGCCGTCTGGTCACCCGTGTGGACGGTACCTCAGGATGGTATGAAGAGCACATTGATCCTTTGGAGGAGGCTTGCATCATTGGCACTTATTTCGTCGAAACTAGTAAGTGCTCAAGACATCTTGATATTTAAATGTCCTGACCATGTTTATTACAGGTCCTGGACAGTGGGCTGAAATTTCTTGGTGGCCGAAGTCAACAACGTGGAAATGCTGCGGCTATGGCTCTCCCGGCTATTGGACCAACGGGGCAGAAGAGTGGTACCAAAATCGGCTTAGGGAAATCATGAAGGGGACTGCTCAACCCATGTCACAGATGCAGTGGCGCTCCTTTTTGCGCCATAATGCTTCTGCTGTGAGGAAGTTCAGTGGTCGGTATGAGTCGCACTGCAAACTCTCCGTGGATGCCCGTTGAGAACCCATTCCTTTATCATCTGTATGTGTCTGGCTTGTGGTGGCATAGCACCTTTGTATTTAGTCCATAAACTCATGTTCGCCCCCGGGTCAGCCGCCGTCAATATCTTTAAGTGGCGTTCACAGCGGCTGAGCCGCTGTGACTTCGGGAGCTGCGTGACGGCGGCTATGCTTCATCTTATCAGTGGGCTGCGAGTGGCCCGCCGGCGGCCCGATTAGATTCTGGTTCGGTCTGACACAAAATATTCACGCCAACGTTTCAAAGCACTAGTAGTTTAATAATATAGAGACATGTTTGGTAATACATTTATACACCTCCCTGCAATTATTATTTATAGCGCAAAACCGGTCCAAGTTAAATTCTGAATTCCGACCGGTCACAGGGTATGATTCTGGCTCTGAAATTATGATTTGGGCCCAGGGTCGCATAGAATCTGGGATTTACAAATGAATTTCTGGCTCACTTAAAGACCATTCAGTATATAATTTATGTTATCTAGTTCAGTGATGTATCTGTGTAATAAATCCTGTATCACATATTTGACTGAGCCTGAACTTTATATGGTGGTTGAGCATTCATTTTGATATTCTGGCCCGCCCTAAAGTTTCGGAAGGCTCTTGTGTGATACGCTCTTCATAGCCCGCGAGCCAAGCTTGGTCTTCCGATGCAGGGCGAGTCAGATGTTATTGTGCGGGCGAGCATGCTCGACGAGTCTTTCCTTGGTAGGGCGTTGCTAGAAGCACCTCGTTGCGGTCCTGGTGGGACTCGTAGCATGAGGGACTGAGACCGGAGTACAGTGAGTCTTGCACACGTTCATAGATCCATTCTTAGAGTTTCAGCATCGTCTCTGGGCATGGGACGTCGCGATGACATGGGAGCATCAATGCACAAAGCTATATGTACGTCCATATTATGATGTCAGTGCTGATGTTCGGCAACTGGAATCGTTCCGCGTAAATACTGCCAAGGATAGTCCATCACGAGTGGGTCCACCTCCACGTCGCAGTCGTCTGACCCGGGTCAATCTTGCAGCCATCCCAATGTCGCTACGCTCCATTTCAGCCTCCTTTTCCACCTCAGCTGGACCGCCTGAGGCCAGTGCTCACGTCC